CGTGGCAGAGAGAAAATAAAAGTTGGTAGGAGACCCGGCGCCGGTGGTGTCCGGAGCCCGGCCGGCCCCTAGAAGGGGAGGTCCCTCAGGTCCGCGGAGCAGCGGGCGGCCGGGAGCACCGCAGGGCAGCCGGCAGGGACAGGTGCAGTGCTGGCCTCTCCCGGAAGGGCACCTGGGGGACAGAGAGGAGGGGACAGTCACCCAGACACATGGGCCCCCTGCAGGGCCTCTGCCCCGGCTGCGCCCCAGTTCCCTGCCCTCGCCGGGTCCGCCCGGTAGATGTTCGTGTTTGCAGCGGAGGGAACGGGAAGAAAGAAAATGCTCTCGTCAAGCCAGAGTGTGGTCTTAAAATGAAAACAAGGACTAGCAAGACAGGAGACGGGGTGTGCGTGTGTGTGCGTGTGTGTGGGTGTGTGTGCGCGCATGTGTCTGGCTCTGCGTCCACCCACAATGAGCTTTCAAAGGGGCGACGTGAACACTCACTGGTCGAAGTGGCAATGGAAAGGGAGTACTGAGAGGGGGCGCCGTCGGGGAGAGGGGAGCCCACTCAGGGCTGTCATTCCGCCTCCAGGGCCGGCAGCTGGGCCCACAGCTGGTGCTGGAGGCCCCGCACGTGTGGGGGAGGCCGCACTGGCTGCCCGGGGCCAGGCCGGGAGGCAGAGACAGAGCCCAGCTCCAATCTGGGGCGCAGCCGGGATGCCCGGTGTCTGGAGGGGTGTCAGAAAAAGGGGGCCCGGGCCCCGGGGCCGCCCTGCTCGCCCGGGCGCTGCTGGGAGCAGGGGGTTGGAAGTGGCTGCACGTGGGCAGCAGCCCGCAGCTCCCTCCCGGGGAGCAGAGGGAGCGGAGAGGCCAACGGTGCGGCCCTCACCGGCGTGTCCTCCTGGGCTCCTTGGCCCCCAGAAGGGGCGCTGAGAAGAGGCATGGGCGTGGGTCTGAGGAGGAGCCGTGAGTGTTCTCGGGGACCTGGCATGGGTGGGTGGGTGGGGGGGAGGGGGAGTGCTGGTGGTGGTGAGGAGGGGCTGGTCCCCGCAGGGCTCCAGGGCCTGGCTTGGCTGCAGGCAGGCTGGGTGGGTGGACGGCCTGGGCGCTACCTGCCAGGGCAGCTGGGCCGTGCCTGGGAGGGCCACTCTCGGGGGTCTGGCCGTAGGACATTCATGTCTTCTCTCCTGGGTGTCTGGGTGCCTCTGCCCACGGGGGAGGCTGCCTGCGGCCACCACACCCCGGCAGCCTGCAGTCCCCGTGGAGACAGACTCAGGGCAAAGCGAGGGGGTCGGGAGGCATCGCGGAGCTGCCCAGAGGTGCCCCGAGCCCTCGGGGAGCTGAGACAACCAGGAATGGGGGCCCCGCCGGCGTCTCCTGCCTTCCCCATGTCCTTTACCCGCCCCCCTCCCCCCGCCTTCTCCCCTCCACGGAGGCTCCATCCTCTCCCTACTCCCCCCCACCCCACCCCGCCCGCCATCTGGTGGCCCAACCCCAGGCCCTGGAAGCTGGTTCTCAGCTCAGCACCCAGAGGGGCAGGCGCTCTCAGCGTCCTTCCACCCCTCACCCCGGGCACTCAGTCCTGCCGCCCCGAGGGCGCCCATGGCACTGCTTCGCCAGCCTGCCCTGGCGGTGGGCATCTCCTGGGGGGCTTCTAGGCACCCAGAGGCCGTCCCCCTCCCAGAGCCCCTGGATCCCGGTGGCCGGAGGTTGGGGAGACAGGGGGGAAACTGGGGAACGTTTTAAACATGACTCCGGGCAGAGCCCCCCTGACTCCGTGCCCACAGCCGCCCTCTGCCTCCTGTGAGCGGCCCCGGAGCCCGGCTGTGCGGGAAGGTGGAGGTGTAACCCGGGCTATTTATAATTCCCACGTTTGTTTCAAAGCAGTCAGGCCAGATGTCGACTTGGAAGTTGGGAGGGAGACGGATGCTCTTATACATTCATGTTGCCAGCCATGGGCATCTGAGATGTTTTAACGCCTGCCTCTCCGAGGGACAATCCCTCAGGTTCACGGCCGCCACTGTGCGGACGCCCCCCCCCCCCCCCCCCCCCCCGGCCGAGGGGTCGCTGACGTGGGCGCAGCTGCGGGCGAAGGTCTGGCGGCAGGACCTCAGTGGGTCCTGAGTGGGTGTCCTGTGGACCTGCTGGCCTTCTCCCCTCTGCCCACCCTTGCTCTGGCCCCTCGGGGCTCCCGTTCTGCTGGTGAGTTTGATCAGGGCCTGGGCTCTGCCAGGAAGTGGAGCGGCTCATCCCGAGTCTGCCACTAGGGGGCGTGCTGCAGACCCTCTGAAAGGACCGCCTCCTGGGACACTGGCTGGGATTCCCCAGGGCCGCACTCGGGCTCTCTCCACAGCCGGCAGTCCTGGCGTCCCCGGGGGGGCTTCCGCAGTGGCACTAACCGGCGGTGGTGGCTGGCTTCGCAGCTGGGCACCCACGTGTACGTGCTGCTTAACGGTTCAGGAAGTCCTGCCCACCCCGTGGCGGCACTCGGTCTTATCTCTGACCCTCATGGTCCAGGCTCGGGATTGCTGTCCCCGCAGAAGGGGAAACAGAGGCACTGGGAAGTAGAGGGACATGCTCAGGGCCACTCCCCCAGGCGGCAGACCCAGGACCTAAGCTCAGGGCGGTCACTCCTGCCCTCCCTGCGTGGGCCGCTGTGTCTGCATCACCTCTGGGGCCACACATCCTCCCGCCTGTCCCCGCCCGGCTGTGGGCTCCAGGGGCAGCTCCCGCCTCTGGGGCCAGCGGGAGCCCATAGAACCGTGGCCGGCAAACCACGGCTCGCGAGCCACATGCGGCTCTTTGGCCCCTTGAGTGTGACTTTTCCACAAAACGCCACGGCCTGGGCGAGTCTCTGTTGAAGAAGTGGCGTTGCAAGGAGTTTAAGTTTTAAAAATGTGGCTCTCTGAAGGCATGTCCACCGTTGTGCTGTGGCTATTGGGCTCTGTGGGCTAATGAGTTTGCCGACCACTGGCCTAGAGGATGCTCGGGGCACGGGGCTGGTCATGTCCTGGAGACCCCAGGCCGGTGCCCAGGAGGGCTTGTCCTGGCCCGTGGTTATGTTTTAGCCACTTTCGTGGCTCGGCCCCAGACACGAGGAGCCAGGAGCCGTCCGCGCCTGGCGCTGGGTGGCCAGCAATAGCCTCTTATCACACTTTCCTAAAAGTGTTTGCAGGTCGTGCCCTCCCCCCCCCCCCCCATGGTTACACAGTGGGAACGCACTGTGCAGCCCGGGCCGTGCTCCCGATAGCGCGCACTTTGATGTGGTTGGAAAGAGCCGCCCTTGCCAGGGGATCTTTGTTCCTGGTTTGGAGGGTCACCTTCCCGGGGGAGGGCGCTGAGCCTCACTCCCCGGGCTCGCTGTCCAGGCGCGTTGGCTGTGGGGTCAGCCTGGGCCCCCCTGGTGACACGGAGGGGGCTCCCGTCCAACGGTGCTGACCCCAGAGGGTCCCGGCCTCCGGGGGCCCATTGCCCACGGGGACGGCTGTCCCGAGTGCTGCCAGGGGCCAGGGCGGTGAGCTGGGAGCAGAGCTGCCCCAGACTTGGTGTTGTGAGCTCATGCCTGGCCCCGGGCGGGGAGGGGCGAGGGGTCTTGGACCATCCAGACTCTTCCTCATGTGGGCAAGCCCTCTGACCTCTGCGCCTCCGTCGCTCCTGTGCAGGATGTGACACGGAGGCCTCCAGAGCAGTGGGAGCACCCTTCATCCGCCCACTGGTGTAGCCACGCGTTTATTGAGCAGCTACTATGCGCCGCGCCCAGAAACTCCGCTTAGATGCAGGGCCTCTGGGCCCGGGCAGTGTCCTCAGGGCAGAAACAGGAAACCAGCTGCCCCGCGTGGCGTCTTTCCGGCTGCTCCCTCGGCTTTGGCAAAGGGAGAGAGTTGTGGAGACAGGCGGACACACTCCTGGCCTCGTCCTGGGCCCTTAGGGCAGCGGCACGCTGGCCTCTGGGAAGGGGTGTGGTGGGTGTTGCCATGCTGGGGGCCAGGCTCGTGTCCCCCTAACTCCCGCCCTGACCCACTGAGGTCCCGTGCTGACAGGCCCCGGGCGCCTTCCCGAGGCCCTTACAAGCCAAGTTCGGGAAGCCTCCCGGCTGCCCCCCTCCCAGCACCCCCATGCCTGGCCCCATGTGCCCACCCCTCTGGCTGCCCAGCCTGCCCTTTCCGCTTCGTGCCCACGCTGCCCGCTTCCACCGCCTCCAGGCGTCTGTCCTGCAGGGAGGGGGCGGCGGGCATGTGGACCCACACACCGTGGTCCCACAGCCCCTGCCTCGCCTGGCCCCATCCTGACCGCCTGGCTGGCAGCCTGCCCTCTGCCTGGGAGCTGCAGGCTTTGTTTTCCTTTCCCCGGGCCCCCAGGCTGCAGGAGAGAGCCTCCCACCATCACAGCCCCTGTCCCTGAGCTCCCGGGAGCTGGGCCCCTGTGTGGGCTCAGACTCCGGGTCTCATCTCCCGCCCCCTCCTTCCCTCCGTGAGTGACACACGCCTGCTTCCCGGGCTACCTCCCTGTCCTGTCCTCCCAGCTGCTCATGGGATCCAGCATCTCCCCCTCCTCTCCCCAGCCCCTCCTCACAGGGCACCCCAGGCCGTGGCCTGGGGGTGCAGGGACTGTGGTGGGTCAGGTAACAGGTCAAACACTGCCTTCGGGGCCGAGTGCGCGTCCCCTGGGCTGGAAGACCCCTGGACAGGCCCGGGGCCGGGGAGGCGGCGAGGGCAGCAGAGGGGGCCTTGGGAACGGGCCTCTCTATGCCCGTCACAAGGGGCACGAGCCAGGTTCCTGCAGGTGGCACCTGTGTTAGCTTAAGAGTCTGTTTGGAGAAGACATCGGGCGGTGGCCTTGAAGTCTGTGTTTGGTGGGTACTGGGGTCCCAGGGCTATCTGAAGGTGTTTGCCGAGCGGCTGGGAGGGAGCCAGGGCTATCGCTGCGGCCCGGGCACACAGCCAGGGGGCGCCTCGCACCCGCTATAAAGCCTGGGCCGCGGGCACCGGCAGCAGCAACCAGCCCGACACCCAGACTTCAGCATGAGGAGCCTCGTGGCGCTGCTGGCAGCCCTCGCGCTGTGCCATGCCTCTGGGATCACCAGGTGGGTGTCAGCGCCGCTCAGGGATGCTCCGGGCGGCTCTCTCCCTGGGCCTCGGCCCCCGGGTGGGCTTTGGAGGAAACGGACGGCTCCGTTACTTTCCCGCCCCATCCCGTCAGCCTGACTATCGCACGTTTTGGGATCCTTTCTCTGAGGGCGCCACTCCAGGGGGTGGGCGGCCAGGGCGCTAGGACAGGGCTTCTCCATCAGATGGCCGATCCGGTCCCTGCTTCAGCACGGACTTACCCCTGTGCCCCGAGTCCTGGCCTGTGTCAAAGCCAGAGACGGGGTCGCCGTCCCCTGGGGTCGGGGAGGAGCCGAGGACTCCGTGTTTCGAAAGGCTTTGGCCGGAGCCAGGCGCTTTGTAAGAGCCATGCAAGCCTTTGCTCCACAAAACCAAGTTCTCTGATGTCACAGGCCCTCTGGGGGTGCAGTTCCCGGCCCTCCTTCCAAAATCACAGCCGGTGGTCACTGCGCTGCCTGCCGCCAGGCTCCCCGCCCTCGCAGGGTCCCCCGGTAGATGTTCGTGTTTGCAGCGGACCGATGGGGAGACTGTTGTGCGGGAGGGTGTCGGAGCTGCCTGAGGCCTGGAGGGGAGAAGGGGAGGAGCCAGGGCTTGGTCCCGTGTGGACGTGAACGGTGGACTCACACGGTCTGGGGTTTCCAGGTTCAAGGCCCCTTTGAGGGAGGGTCTGGGGACCCGGTGCTGGGCAGGGCAGCTGGGCAGAGGCGGCAGCTGCTGGGGGGCCGGAGTCGATAGGAACCAGAGGCGAGCGAGCAGGGAGCTTTGGGGGCCGGGACTCGGCCCCAGGAACGGCCTCACTCCTTCCTTCAGGGCTTACGTCCCCTTCTCTCCTGAGGGACAAGGGTGGGGAGGCATGTCAGAGCCTTTCACCGCTGAGCTGGCACACCGGAGGGCGGGCGGGAGGCACCCGACGGGGCACTGGTTCACAGGCAGGCTGTCCCCCGTGCCATCCGCGGGACGGGAGCGACACTCAGCAACCACTTTTGTTCTAGGTCTTTAAAAAAAACAACAAAAAACAAAACAGGGACCTTTCTTTTTCTTTTTAAAAAAAAATAAATGTTATTAATTTTTTGCAGAAGTGAAGGGAGAGGGATAGAGAGCTAGAAACATCAATGAAAGAGAAACATCGATCAGCTGCCTCCTGCACACCCACCACCAGGGATGTGCCCACAACCAAGGCACATGCCCTTGACGGGAATCGAACCCAAAACCTTCCAGTCTGTAGGCTGACGCTCTATCTACTGAGCCAATCTGGTTTCGGCTTGTTCCGGGTGTTAATGTGGCTGTATTTTATTCTCAAAAGTGTTCACACCCACCGTCTCCACAGGAGGACCATGGGGCTCTCGGAGGTGGTTGAGCTGCTGGCCGGTCCACGGCGGGGTAGGGGGGGGAGGGGCTGGGCAGGGAGGAGGAGCCAGATTTCGGGGAGCCACCAAGTGCCACCAGGAGCTGTTTCTGGGGTTTGTCCATCTGGGTTCTCTTCCTGGGCACCTGCCGCCATCCCCCGGCTCCTGCAGCCTGTGAGGCACTCCCGGGAGCCACGCTCTGGGCTGAAACCTCTGAGGGATCCCCCCACATCCTCCGCTGAGGCCCCTCGGGGAGCCCAGTGCAGGCGGGGTGTCCTCATTTGCTGGCGTGCGGGATGCCTTCCTCTCCAGGGCGCTCTGGTGGGGAGAGACTGTGCCTTGTGCATTGTGTGGCCCTGGGCCCTATGAGTGCCGGGCACTTAGTAGGTGCACATAGTGAGGGCCTGGCACATAGTAGGTGCACAGCCAGATCGGGAGACGGATGGTCACTTGTTTAGTGTCTCAAACCTCAGAGAGGGTTACGCATCAGCCGGTTATAAATGACACCTGCTGAGTCTCCCCCAGCGTTGCAGAGAGAGAGAGAGAGCTAGAAAACGGAGTGCGTGGCATTTACAAAGGGTGGGCGTTGATATGTGAATGGATGGGAAACGGGTTTTTACTCTGGGTTCCGAGAAAGGGCTGGGAGGGCTGGGGTTAGGGCTGGGTGGGTGTCAGGGGCGGGGCAGCCCTGGGGAGGCGCTGCCTCCTCACGCCCCTCCGCCCCCTCAGGATCCCTCTGCACAAGGGCAAGTCCATCCGGAAGGCCCTGCAGGAGCGCGGGCTCCTGGAGGACTTTCTGAGGACGCACCAGTATTCCGCCAACGCCAAGTACCGGTCCGGCAAGGTGGCCAATGAGCCCCTCTTCAACTACATGGACGTGAGTGGCCCTCCCCCCACAGGGTGCCACGGACATCCCACCCCACCCACACCCCCACCCACAGGGTGCCACCCCCACTCCCATGCCTTTCCCCACCCACACTCACACCACCACCCCTGTTGGAGGAACCGTGAGCCCTCAGGACAGGGAGACCATGTCGCTGGCCCTGGGCTCTGAATGACAAGCGTCCGGCAGACAGCAGCCCCCAGACCCATGTCTGCCCCGGTCCAGCCTCATTCGGGGACCCAGGGGCCCTGCCCATTGTGGCTCCGTGGGGATGGGCAGGTGGGGGCAGGAGGGACCTGGGCCCGATGCCGTCCTGGAGCCCAACTCCCTCTCGCCCGTCACTCTGGGCAGAAGCTCCCAGCCCTTGTCTCCGCCTCCCTTCCTTCCTGAGGTCGTCCTCAGCCCTCGGCTCTGGTCCTGATGGGGGCGAGGAGGCGTGCAGGGCCGCAGGGCGGCACCTGGGGCCTGTCCCTGGCTGGTGCCCGCCTCTCTGCCTCTGCGCCCGGCTGGATGGCCCAGGGTCCCTCCCAGGCAGGACGTAAACGTTAACCCAATGTCTGCTGCTGGGGCTGAGGCCAGCAGGGCCCATGGCCGGGGTGGGTGCCCAGCGTGGGGGCTGGGACCCTCCCCGGGGAGCCTCCTGTTCCTTTCCCTCCTCTTCCCCGTCTTGGGCAGAAAGCACAGGGCCTTCTTAAGTGAACAGGCTCCATGCCCACGTCTCCCTACCCCACAGGCTGCCCCCTGCCCTCCCCGCACCCCCTGAGCCCGCCTTGCCGCCGCCCGCACCCCCTGAGCCCGCCTCGTGCCCCCCGCACCCCCTGAGCCCGCCTCGTGCCCCCCGCACCCCCTGAGCCCGCCTCGCCCCACGGCACCCCCTGAGCCCGCCTCGTGCCCCCCGCAGTGCCAGTACTTTGGGAAGATCTCCATCGGGACCCCGCCTCAGGAGTTCACCGTGATCTTCGACACCGGCTCCTCCGACCTCTGGGTGCCCTCCGTCTACTGCAAGAGCAAGGCCTGCCGTGAGTGATGCCCTCTCCTCCCCCGTCCCCGCCCACTCGGACCCTGGCCGCCGCCTGCGGAGGGGGTTGGGCAGCTGGCCAGCGGCCCTGTGAGGCTGCAGGAGGCTGGCGCTGACACCCTCAGCCTCCCCGAGTCCCGGGTCCGCGCTCAGCCCCTGCCGGTGGCCACAGGCCGGAGGGTGCGCATCTGGGGCTGCCATACAGAACCGTCTAAAACCGCCTAAAACCACCTAAAACCGCATAAAACCGCATAAAACCGCATAAAACCGCGGCTGCAGGTGGAGAGCATGGGTTTTGTCTTGTCTCCACCAGACGCCAAGGCCAGCGGCGGCCCCTCCTGGGCTGTTTTCCTTCCTGTGTCCGGGGCTAGACAGGCGGGGTGCTGCCGAGGGAGGAGAGAGGCCTCACTCATGATAAAACATGGGATGTGTCACCAGCTTCCCAGCCGGCCCCGGGCCGTGGTGGTTTCCCCTTCGTTCACCGGGGGAAGCAGCATCCAGCGGAGGAGGCACCAGCCTGAGGTCGCAGAGCTGATGCCCGGCAGTCACAAGGGGGTGGGCGAGGGAGGGGGCGGCGTTTTTTCTCTTTATTTTTGTTCGGAAGCCACACCGGTAGCCCTGGGCTCAGAGAGGTGGGTCCGGCAACAAAGGATCATTTTCTTTTTCTTTTTAAAATAGACTTTTATTGATTTCAGAGAGAAAGGGAGAGAGAGAGAGATCAATGATGAGAGAGAATCATTAACCAGCTGCCTCCTGCACGCCTCCCCACTGGGGACCGAGCCCACACCCCGGGCCTGTGCCCTGACAGGGATGGAGCCGTGGCCTCCTGGTTCGCAGGACGATGCTCACGTCCTCTTCTGAGCCGGCGGACGGGGCGGGGATGGTCTTGTTGCTCGAACTCGGGGCTCAGGAGAGAACGGGCGCTCACGAGGCCCTGGGCGCTGGCGAGGGCGCGGAGACCCCTCTGACCGGGCTCTGTCTTCCAGAGAAACACCACCGCTTCGACCCGGCCAAGTCCTCCACCTTCCGGGACCTGGGCAAGCCTCTGTCCATCCAGTACGGCACGGGCAGCATGGAGGGCGTCCTGGGCACCGACACCGTCATTGTGAGTGGGCCGCCCCGCCCCGCCCCGCCCGGGGCCCTGGGGGGGAGGACAGGCCGGGACAGCGAGGGAGCAGGCGCCCTGAGTGGCTCAGAGGAGGGGGGCCGTGTCCCCGGTCGGCTTTTCAGGGACGGGGGCGGGTTAACAGGCTGCTGGGGAGTCAGCCCTTACTCAGCCCAGGGACACGAGTGATGGGACCGGAGGGGGCAGTGCTGGGAAATGCTCCGAGGGAGGGTCCTGCAGCCTGGGACGCAGGTGCCGTGGGTCCATGAACATGAGGAGGTCGAGGCTGGGAGAGGCATGTCCCAGGCCACTGGGCACATGAGGTCTTTCCGGCCCATCCACAGCCATTCCTGGGAGACGCCAGGTGCAGCCGGGAGGTCGGGGGCCTGCAGGCCGGCAGGGGGCCGGGGGCGCCCCTCACCACACCCCCTTCTTTGGGCTCCGCCCCCAACTTCTGCACCAAGAGCCCTGCTGTCTGCACCCTCTACCGTGTCCTCTCTGTCCGTCCTCCCCTGCCCACTGAGCCAGTTCCCTCAGCACCGCAGCACAGGGCCGGGAAGGGCTGCTTCTCTTCACGCTCATGTAGCTGCTCAGCAGGGCAAGGCCTGCAGCTGGGTGGTGGGCTGGGCTGCCTGTGGCCGCTGCCCCACGGAGGCCACTCCCCCTGCAGGTCTCCGGCATCGTGGACACCCAGCAGACCGTGGGCCTGAGCACCGTGGAGCCCGGGGACACCTTCATCTACTCGGAGTTCGACGGGATCCTGGGGCTGGGCTACCCGTCCCTGGCCTCCGAGTACTCGGTGCCCGTGTTCGACAACATGATGAGCAAGCACCTGGTGGCCCAGGACCTGTTCTCCGTCTACATGAGCAGGTAGGTGCCCACCGGCTCCCCGCCCGGCCAGGGCTGCGGCCGGGGGTCAGGCCGCCCCGCGGGGACGCTGCGGCTCCAGGGGAGTCACGACAACCTCTCGTCACGGATGCAGCCTGAGTCAGGGGACCGTTGTTTCTGCCGTTTACAAGGCGGCCCTGACCCGACCTCTATGCAGGGGCCGTATCTTCTCCCCAGAGAGGCAGCCTCCGCAAGCCTTTGCTGACGTCACTGAGATCCGCGGAATTGTAGAGCAGGCTCCAAAGGAGTCCTGCCTTCTCCTCGCACAATTTGGGAAACTGAGGCAGGGAGGGATGCTCACCCTGGGAGTGGGTGGCTCCTGACTCCAGTGATAGGCAGCTGGACAGAGGGACAGAAGGAAGGCTGGTGTCAGAGGAAGTCAGGCAAGAGGTGCATTGGTTCATTCACTCATTCATTCATTCATTCATTCACTCACTCATTCACCTATTCACTCGATAGATGGTCGGTCCTGCTGTGCGCAGGGCTGTGCCAGGAGGTGGGGAGGGATCAGCTAACACGTCAGCCTGGGAGTTAACCTTTATCGGGGGAAGCAGATGCCGCACACATGACGATGACACGCGTGGGCCGGGCACGGACGGGGAGGCTGCGTGTGGGAAGCTGAATGGTGACAGGGATGCGGGCCTCACGGAGGGTGTGAGGGGCCGGAGGCTTCGCTGAGGCACGCGTGGGTGCCGACCGGTGACACTGAGAGACGGTGACACCGAGGGACGGTGACACAGAGGATTGGTGGTTTTAGGGCCTGGGCGTGGAGGGCGCTGGAGGAGGGCAGGACGGGGACGGCGGGCAGGAAGCCGGTGGCAGGAGTGTGCCCGTGTCTCCTGGCCGTGGACAGAGCCCCGGGGACCAGAGGGGTCTGGCGGGGGTGGTGAGATCAATCCAAAGGTGTGGGCCTTGCTGACGGCCCTCTCTGTGCTCTCAGTCTTCCTTCGGTGAGGGGGAGAGGGCACAGGGGCCCCACAGAGCCCGGCAGCCTGTGACCTGGGGGCGGCTTGCCCCGGCTGCTGAGTGCCAAACACGCCCATCCTTGGTTTCAGGAACGGCCCCGGGAGCATGCTCACACTGGGGGCCATCGACCCATCCTACTACACCGGCTCGCTGCACTGGGTGCCCATCACTGTGCAGGAGTACTGGCAGTTCACCGTGGACAGGTGGGTGAGGGCGCTGGGGACGGCCAGCGGCTCCCTCCGGGGTAGGGATGTGGGGTTCAGGGTCAGCCCCCCGGAAGTCTGGATTAGACACGCACAGGCCCACGGCCTTGGCAGCCATGCCCGGCCTCTGCTTTGTGAACGAGACGGTGCCTTCCTGAGCTCACTCCCTGCGAGGCCCTGGCTGAGGGAGACCGGGCTGTCTGGGTTATGTCAGCGAGGCGGGTGCCGGGAGGACCCCGCTTTGCGGTTTCCTAGCCTCTGGGGTGAACCTCATCACCATCCCCAGGAAGTGAGGAGGGGTCGTGAACGGACCCATTTCGTGATGGGTGGAAAGGTGGGGTAACTTGCCTGAGACAAGACACCAGCGGGGAGAAAGCTCGGTCTCCAGGCAGCGAGCGAAGTGCCTTCCAGAACATCCCCTCCCACCCCCCCACGCACGGGGCTGCTGCTCCATCGCAGTTTTTGTCCCACAGCCGGTGGAGTGGTCCTGATTGAGCTGCCGAGTTGGGGGAACACGGTTTCGGGTCTTTTCTCTGAGCTCAGGCAGTCGTGGGGAGTCCAGGAAGGGGTCCCCGGGAAGGGCACATGGGAGTTGGGCGTCCTCCCTGCCCGGGCCCTGGCGGGGGAGGCCGGGGCACTGGGGAGGGAGGCGCAGCACGGCCGTCCGGTCTCCCCCTGCAGCGTGACGGTGGACGGCGTGGTGGTGGCTTGTAACGGTGGCTGCCAGGCCATCCTGGACACGGGCACCTCCATGCTGGTCGGGCCCTCCAGCGACATCCTCAGCATCCAGAATGCCGTCGGCGCCACCCAGGACCAGTATGGCATGGTGAGGCCGGGCCCTCGCCCCTCCCACGCCCGCCCGAAGGGCCCCCTTAGTGCATGGGAGAAATAGCAAAGGGGAATGGTGGGGGACCATGGATGTCATGGTTTCCTTGGAGGCCTTCACGGTGACTCCTATTCCCCCACCTGAGCCTCCAGTCCTCCAGCCTGGCCTCCTGTCCCCCAGCCTGGCCTCCTGTCCCCCAGCCTGGCCTCCTGTCCCCCAGCCTGGCCTCCTGTCCCCTCAGCCTGACCTCCCCGGTGTCCGCTGAGAAAGCAGGCCCCTCCCCATTGCGTGGCTCGGTTCCAAGGAACGGATCTCAGCCTGGGACTGGCTCTGCTGCTTCCGGTCACACCTATCGTCCTTAAAAAAAATTTTTTGAGGACATTTAAAAAAAAATACTGGGGATGGAGCCCACTGGGGATGGAGCCCACAACCTGGGTCTGTGCCCTGACTGGGAATCGACGCCAGGGACCTCTTGGTTCGTGGTTGACGCTTAACCAGCTGGGTGCGCCCCCTGGGGCTGGGTACACCCCTCACCCTTTAAGAGGACCCCGCTCTGGCCTTTTAAAAACGCAGTTTGAAATGGCTTACTGCAGCATAGTAGATACTGTATACAATATTATATTAGCTTCAGGGTACAACTCCGTGGTCAGACGTTTATACACAGCGCCCACCACACCACGGCCATGGCCAGCTGCCCCTGCAAAAAGCTCCGATATTACCATTTTCTCTGTTGTGTGTGGCACCCACGACTCCCTTCTCATAACTGGAGCCGGTCCCTCTCCATCCCCTTTCACCTTCCCCTTCGCCCCCACCCACCCCTCGGGCAACCCTCAGCTGCTTCTCTGTGTCTGAGTCTGTCGTGCTGGTTGTTTTTCCAATTTGAGATCAACTGCGGGAGCCTGAGCAGCATGCCCAACGTGGTCTTCCAGATCAACGGCAAGAAGTACCCGCTGCCCCCCTCCGCCTACATCAGCCAGGTATGTGCCTCGGGGTGGGGTGGGGGAGCCCCAGGCTCCCAGGCCCTCCGCCCTCCTGGGAGTCAGTGAGTTGGTGATAAGTGGGGGGAATGCAGGGCCTGTGGTAGACCAGCTGGCCCTGCTGAGGGGGCCCTGTGACTGCTGCACCTCGTCCCGGGAGAAACTGGGGAGGACAGAGGCCTGGGTTTGGGGGAGGGGGGAGGCAGGGCCTCTGTGGGGGCCTCTGTCCACAGCCCAGGGGCCTGGTCTGTCTGGGGTGTTCTTAGGTTGCCTGGGTTTGTGGGGACCCAGATTCCCAGCGATCGGGTTTGACCTAATCATAAGCGCCCCAAACCAGCAAGGCCTCGCGCTGCTCTGGCAGGAGGTCATGAGAGTGGGAAGATGGGGAGCTGAGAGGAAGTGAGGAAGAGCAGGGTGAGGGGGCCCCCCCAGCTGACCTTGGGTCACGCCCCTCGTCTATGATTTGGGCGTCCATTTCTTCCCCTGTGGAGTGAGAGAAACCGGATGCTGGTCTGCCTGCCTTGGCCGGCGATTCCAGGAGGGAAGGACACAATAGCTGAGGGCTGTGGAGGAGGGGGAGGGAGGGGGTCGCACTGAGGCCCCGCGTCACCTCTGTCGGTCCCCTCGTCACCTCGGTCTGCCTCCCCAGGACTCCGGCTTCTGCTCCAGCGGCTTCCAGGGCGACGACAGCTCCGAGCAGTGGATCCTGGGCGACGTCTTCATCCGCGAGTACTACAGCGTCTTCGACCGGGCCAACAACCGCGTGGGGCTGGCCAAGGCCGTCTGAGCCCCAGCGTGAGCCCCGCTGCCCGACTCGCGCATGCCCGCGCTCACGTGTGCACACACATGCATGCCCGCACACACACACGGGGCGTGTTTCTGGGCAGACAGTTCCCAATAAATCCCACTTCTCTGCAAAGCCTGGCTCTTTGGGTGATGTCCTGCACTGTCACAGGTGTGGCTGTCACGGTGTGGTGTCACAGTGTGTTGTCACAGGTGTGGTGTCACGGTGTGGTGTCACGGTGTGTTGTCACAGTGTGGTGTCACAGTGTGGCTGTCATGGGTGTGGCTGTCTGTCATGGTGTGGTGTCACGGTGTGGCTGTCATGTGGGGCTGGGGACAGCGGATGGGAGACTTTCACGGGTGAATGGCCACTCAGGACAGATCTTGCCGGGCTGGTCTCCTCCCCTGGGAACGGCACAGAGGGGAGGCGGTCGAGGGCGACAGCGGTCCCCGGAGCTAGGGCTCGGGATGTGGGGCTGAGCAAAGGACTCTGACCGGATGGAGGACGCCGGGTCTGTGAGGAGGAGACGGGGACACTGGCAGAGGGCATCTGGGAAGGTCTGTGCGTCACCGTGACCTTGGGGAGAACCACAGGCCAGAGCTCCATCCTCAGTCTGACTCCAAAGCTGACCTCATGGGAACAGCCCTCTGTTCCCAACAGGGGGCAGCGCAGTGGACCGGGCTCCTTCACCCCTGAGTCCCTCCCCTCGTCCTGACCCCACTCGCCCTGCTCACTGAGGGCAGGCCCACCTGGCACGGCACAGAGTGTGTGTGTGTGTGTGTGTGTGTGTGTGTGTGTGTCCAGTCCCAGCAGGAGCTGCGGAGGGGGTCCTGGTGACAGGTCCCTCTGGGGGTCCCTCTCAGCTCCCCCCAAGGACAGAAAGGGCCAGGGCAGTGCTGGTCAGGGAGGCATGGTGACCTCTGGCAGGGAAGGAGCAGGGCTGGTGAGGATGGGCGGGGCTTGGAGGAGGAGGGGCTCAGGCTGTGGTCTGGGGGAGCTGAGGAGCTGGGGGCTGAGCAGAGGCTGCAGGAGGACGGGGCTGGACCCCAGGCCTGGGTGCTGAGCCCTCCAGGGTCAGGGCGGAGAGTCGGGTGCCCAGCAGGCGGTCCTGGCCTCGGTGATGCCCCTGAGCCTCCCTCTTCTTATCTAACACCCGAGCTGCCCGCCTTCCAGCAGAGAGACAGAACTGGGCCACTGCCATTATTTTTAGGCTTCTTGTTGCTTTAAAAAAAGTGCCAAACAGACTCACACAGGAAAGATGTTACATTTCAATGATTTATGCTGAACGCGTTGTATTTTAAACACCCCGGTGCCACGGGAGGTAACGTACAGAGTCTCAATGTGACCACGTTCACGGGCCAGGAGCTTGGACCAGAGGGTCCCTGAGACACCTCGGCCCCCACCCCCCGGGCCTGCTGGCCGCCCCGTCCTGGGAGGGCAGCGGCCATGGGAGGCAGCGCCCTCCTGGGCATCGGCCTGTGGGCAGCCCGTCTGCCACAGGGCTCCCCTGGCTGCCCAGAGGGCGCCGCCTGGATGCTCTCCACACCCGCCCCCTCGGCCTTCTCCCTGTCCTGCCCCCTCAGCCCAGCCTCTGCCGGCCGCTGCTGACCAGGCTGGGGTGCCCTGCGTACCCACTGCCCCCCGCCTGGCGCTCGGTGCCCAGCACTGTCTCCTCGCCTGTCTCCCCCGTGGATACTGCTCCTCTCAGCTCCAGGTCTTGGGTGCTGCCTCCCAACTCAAGTCTCCTCACTGGAGGAATGAGGGCGGGAGGGAGAGAGGGAGAAAGAGAGAGAGGGAGGGAGGGATAGAGGGAGGGAGGGAGGGAGGCACTCAGTCACTCAGTGAGGTCCTGTGCAGTCCCCTGCTTGCTGTGTCTCCTCTTCCCTTTCAGCTCTCTCTAACCGCCACCCCTCCCCCTCCTGTTCCTTGTGGGGTGCTCCCGAGCCTTTGCTGTCCCCGGGAATGGCTCCCGCACTTAGGAGGATGCAGAAAGGAGAGGGTGGCTGGGCCACCGCACGTGGCTCTGCGAGGGGAGGAGGGGCAGGAGGACCTGTCAGCACATCTGTTTGCTTAGGAAGAGGGGCAGCTGGGGGCAGTGGGAGTGGGAGGGCCCTGCAGGGCTGGGCTGACCCCCTGCCCGGGTTCCTGCAGGGCAGCCGGGGCAGCCGCAGGGTCATACTCACCCAGCCCAGCCCAAGCATTTGCTGCCACGTGGCTGCTGCCACGGCCACTCCCAGCACCTGCAGGGCCGGCGGGAGGCCTGCCTCATGCCCTTCCCTCTGCCCAGGGCGTCTTCCGCTCCCTGTGGCTGGAGCTGCTCCTCCTCCTTCCTGCAGCTGAAGCATCCTCTGGGGTGACAGCCCCGCCCTCCCTCCCCTCTCCCCCTCCTGACTGCTCAGCGTGGGGCCGGCTGCAGTCACTCACAGGTCGGACTCTGCTCCAGTGCCTGGTGGGCAGCGCCCGGCTTTCCCCTGAGCCCTCAGCACCAGGAGGGCTCCTGGCGTGTGGAGGGAGCCAGGCAGATGGGGGAGATGGGGCGGTTAGGCTCTGTGATCTGAGCGGGCAGATCTCTGCTTGGCTGGCATGAATCATGAGCACAGAGAAACACGAGTTCGCAAAGACAGTGTACACACAGAGACACAGAGACATACACACCGCACACAATACATTCAAACAACACATACATATACACAACATATACATGCACTCACAGAAACAGACACACACACATACACAGAGGCACTCAAACACACGGAAAGACACACACACACACACACACACACACACACACGTATCCCACCAGTGCCTGCCCGCCAGCACCCTCCCTGCCCCCGCCCAGATGGCGCAGAGCCCCAGGCCCACAGCCCCACCTCCACCTCCCCTCCCCCCTCGTCACTCATGTTTCCTGCTAATGAGCGGAAGCGTTTGGCCAGAGAGAAGCTTGGGAAGGAGACCTTCGGAATGGAAATGCTGTGGCAGAAGGATGGATTGCTTTCTGAGCTGTGCGGTTTGTTTCTTGCTGGAAGGAGAGTAGAGCCCAGCGAGAGGCTGCCCAGGTCGGGGAGCCCCGGACCCTGAAAAGGCAGGTGGAGAGCGGCCGCAGGCAGAGGGGACAGGGCCAAGGGGCAGCCTGGGGCGGGCAGAGGGACGACGCTGGCCTCTGCCCGGAAGCCCTGGTCATGGTTGGGGGCCCCAATAGCCAGGACATGCCGCAGCTCCCTGCCGAGGGACATCTGGTCTGTCCCGTCCTCTGAGCGCCTGCTCGTGCTGTTCCCTTTGCCCGAGGCTCCTCTCCACGGCCTCCAGCAGGAAGGTCACCTCCTCTGAGACCCCGCCCACCACGGGAGGACTGCTGGTTGGCTCCTGGCCACTGGGCTTGCCCATTGGAGCTCATTAGAATTACTACTCTAATTTACTAATTTACTAAAAAGGGCATTTTTTTGTGCCTACTGTGCGAAGCATGGCTCTGTGTGCTGTGTCCACAGGAGGGCACAGCAGAGGGACCCTCCGCCCTTGGGGAGCGCTGTGGGGACGCAGACAATGAAGACGATGCGTGTGTAAACCGTGTACCGTGTTCCATGGCTTTAGGCGTCACGGGAGAAGGGTGCTGCAGTGGGAAGGGAAGGCTCCGAAGCCGAGAGGCCTGCGGATGTGAGGAGAGACAGGCATGATGGGTAAAGTGTGTGGAGATGGATCCACCCTCCCTCAGAAGAAGTTACCAGCAAGCAAACATGGAGGTGTTGTCTTTTGTTTTGTGCTGCCCTCCCTCCCTCCTTTTTAATGAGCTGGCCCTCTCGCGGAGGGTAGGAGTCACACGTCAGCATCATTTTGCATCCTTCATAGCACAGAGTGTTGGACACAGAATAATTAATTGTTGGGGGTAGAGGGGGAAAGGAGGGAAGTGTCAGCTCTTGTCTTGGAGCGCCCTCTAGTGATGAAATCTCAACACCCACTTTGTACACCTTGTTCTGTATCCTGCCATGTTCCCACTCCTCCTCCCCACCCCAGGGCAATGGCCATGCAAACAATAGAATTCACCAAGTGCCCCCTATGTGCAAGGCACCACGCAGGAGGCACAGACAGAGCAGGCCTAGCCCCTGACCCGACACCCCTCAGTCAGTGGACGCCTCGCCGGGTAGCTTTCTCTTTCTCGGTCTTTGTTCTCTGGTGCCCTCCCTCTCGGATCTTTCTGGATCATCGGTGATACCAGACGTGCATTTGGGACTAGAGGTGGCCGGGCAAGGATGTGCCCGCTGTATGTGCCCCAGGGACCTGGGGGTCGCATGAGCCCCCCGAGTTGGTGGCACAGGCCTTCACCCCAAGGAGTGACAGCTCCGGGGAGCTTGGAGGGCGGCCGGGGTCAGGTGCATTATGCACTCCCTGCAGTTTCGGGGTTGGCTGAAGCTGTCTCCCCGTTCTGGCTGAGGGAATTGTGCCTCCTTTTAGGGGACTGCGCGTGGCCCGGCCTCCTCCTCTGGGCTGGCGGCCTTGGTGTCCTCAGCGCCAACGCCGAAGCGCCACCCGTAGATGCTGAGCCCCCCTCCCCCCACCTTTTGTCCTTGCCTCTCCTCTGGCCCAGCCCTGAACCTCCGAGAGCCCCTTTCTCTCCCAGGGCCGCGTGTAGCGCCGAGACCAGAGTAACCGTGTCCCGGGAGCTTTGTTTTTAGGGCCTGTGAGAGGGAAGGAGGAGCCCCTGGGGACAGGTGTCTCCCGTATCCAGGAGTGTCCTGGGCGGGGGCCAGCCACAGCCCCCGCAGCTCGGAGCTGTGACCTGGGATGTCCTGCCGGTCAGTCAGCCCCAATCCCAGCTGTCCCCATGTCCGCGCCCTGGGGGCATCTCTGATCCAGAGAGTCAACACAAGCAGTGAAGGGGTATGTGGGCAGAGTAGCTGTCCAGATGCCCAGGTTTGTCCCTGGGACTCCCTCGGTCCCCCTGGCGGCCAGTGTCTGGGCCTCAGCTTCTGAAGAGGGAGGCAGGTGGCTCCATGCTGAAGGGAGCTTGGGCCAGAGCTCCAGCACCTGACCCCTGGCCTTGGCGAGTTGGCATAATATGCAAAAAGGGCATCTTCCAGGACTTTCCGGAGGCCACACGTTTCCAGGGAGACACAGGCCAGAGGGGGAGGGAATGGACTGGGATCGGGGGAGCTTCAGAAATGATTGGCTTGGGCCTGAGAGGTGGATGAATGGACCGGTTGAATGGACTGAGATCTGGGGAACTTCAGAAATCATTGGCTTGGGCCTGAGACGCAGATGAATGGTTCGATGGACAGGCCGGTGCAGAAGGAGCCAGGCGGATATCCGAGTTTCTTGGTGGCAGTTGGGCTGCGGACTTGGCCTGGATTCGAGGGCTTATGCAGACCTGAGTAGAGAGGCTGGGTGCTCCTGGCCAAGGTCGCTGGGACCCTCTCTCCTCAGACCACCCTGACGCCTGTGTCTTCTTCCTCCTCGTCTCCCGCGGCGTGTTCGTCTGTTCAGGCTGCCGTCAGCAGATGCCGCCTGTGGTTGGGATAGACAACACGATGTTTTCCTCGCGGCCTGGAGGCTGGACGTCCAAGATCAGGGTGTCGGCAGGGTTGGTTTCTCCCGAGGCCTCTCTCCTCGGCTTGCCGACAGCCGCCTTCTCTCTGCGTCCTCGCCGGCCTCCTCTGTGCCCGCACCTCCTGTGCCTCCTCTTCCCGGGGACAGCGGCCCCATGGGATCAGGGCCCCACCGAACCTTAGTTGCCTCTTTTGCAGACCTTGGCTCCTAAGGCAGTCACGGTGGGGACTAAGGCTTCCACAGATGGATTTTGGAGGCACATAACATGGTCTTAGGAGGGGCGTCCTTTCTCCCCACTGCCTGTCAGTCAGCCCCACACCCTCCTTCTGCCCATCACTTCATCCCCTCCCAGTGCTGAGAGGTAGCCCCTCGCCCAGGCCTGAAGCTGCCCAGGTCTGTTCAGAAGCAGCTCATTCTGGCGCTGGTTGGACCTTGGGGGACAAAAGGACCTGGGCACCGTGAGATTTATTGGTGTGTGTGTGTGTGTGTGTGTGTGTGTGTGTGGCGTTTTAGGTTTTACATGCCCTGTCACATGACCCTCTCCTTTGGTTTCAGTGTCCCAAGCAAGCAGCTCATTTTGAATCCAAGTGCCGGCCGCCAGACTGTTTGTTGCATCAGTGAGAAGCCCAGCGTTCAGGCCAGAAGGTACGGTCCCTGTGCAGCCCGTGTGTCTGAACCTCTGACGCGGGACAGGGATCTAAAGGGGGTGGTGGTGGGGGTGGGGAAGCACCTGGAAACCTCCCCCAGTCAGCTGGTCCCCACCTTGTTGCCTCGTGGATGCTGCCCTGGGGCGGGCCTGGGACCAGCTCCCCTGACCCCGCTGCTCCAGACAAGCCCCCAGGCTGTCCCAGCCTCCGGACAACCTGCAGAGCCTCCCCCACCGACACCCCCCTCCCCCACCCCCAGAGGTGGCCCCAGTGTCCCCACGGGGTTCGCTGGGAGTTCAGAGAGCTGAAGCCAGAGGGCAGCCGAGAGCTGCGAGGGATGGGCTGGCGAGGGAGGGGGAGTGGCTGCAGGGCTGGCTGCCACAGGAGGGCTCCAGGCCCACAGGAGACCAGATGGGAGAGAGGCACCATCCCTAGGATGTGCCCTTGAAGCGCTTGGCAGCTCTGACTGTCTCCTGCCCAGCGGTGGTGGCAGAAAGGAGACAACAGGCCCGGAATGAAGTCACATATGCCGAGCCCCAGGTCCCTCACCAAACCAGAACTTAGTTACAGAGTGGCTCTTCCAGAAATGGAATATTTTTTTTTCACAACATATTTTTTTATTATTTATTTATTTGTTTTAAAAATATATTTTATTGATTTTTTTTACAGAGAGGAAGAGAGAGGGATAGAAAGTTAGAAACAGCAATGAGAGAAAATCATCAATCAGCTGCCTCTTGCACACCCCCCACTGGGGATGTGCCCGCAAGCAAGGTACATGCCCTTGACCGGAATCGAACCTGGGACCTTTCAGTCTGCGGGCTGATGCTCTCTCTATCCACTGAGCCAAACCGGTTTCGGCTCCAATACATTTTTATTGATTTCAGAGAGGAAGGGAGAGAGAGATAGAAACATCCATGGTGAGAGAGCATCATTGATTGGCTGCCTCCTGCACGCCCCACACAGGGGATTGAGCCCTTGACTGGGATGAAACCCGAGACTCTTGAGTCCGCAGGCTGATGCTCTATCCACTGAACCAAACCAGCCAGGGGCCAAAAACGGAATCTTGAACCAGTGGCTCAGGAGCCGTGGATGGGCACTGGGTGGAGCCCTGCGTGAGAGACCCAGCCGTCCCCTAAGGAGAGTGACTTTGCCATAACCGACCCGTGTGTGTCCCAGTAGAACTTCCGGTTCCGCTCCCTCCCGCCCAGAAAAGCCCTCCATCCTGTGCTGGATGCCACCAGTTCGAATCCATTCTCGGGGGACACACCCCGAGGGCTGTGTGCTATGCATGTCTCTCCCTTCCTCTTCTCCTTCGTTTGTTGGGCTGTTTTGCAGCAGGCACGGGTGGGGGTTATAAGGTCCCCGAGGCCCAGCGCGGCCCCTGAGGGGTGACCCTCTGCGGGGGAGCCTCTATCCCGGGCCTCCCCTGCCTCCATTGGCTGCATCCACCCCGTCTTACCTTTTGCTGAGGAATTTCCTACATGACCTGATTGAATTCCACAGCTACCTGGGGGCTTGGGGTTATTTATTTCTGTTCCGCATTTTTTCTTTCCCCCACTCACATGTGCACAGGTTATTTGTTGGCAGCAGAGCGTGAGGGGGGTGGTGGGAAGGAGGGGCTCGGAGGAGGAGAAGGAAGATCCGCTGGAGATTCCTAATGAGCTTCGCTGTCACTCTCTCCCCAGGCGCCGGACAGACGCCCTGCGACTGGGAAGCAGCGTTCATTATCCGGTGACATTTCGCAGGCAGCTTTCTACCCCGGCCTCCCCGGAGAAGCAATCACAGGAGTGTGTCTGATCTCCCTGTCGCCCGCCTCCCCGGCTGGCCACCCCGGCTCCTTTCATCCCAACGACTGAAGCCCTGAAGCCGGCGGGGCCATCGCTGAGATCTGCCCGGGGCGACACTGCGGTCTCCAGGGGCTTCCTTCCCGCTTCAAAGAGCTGCCGGAATGCCTCCCTGCAGGGGTGAAGCGTTTTATTTTCTAGGGGCTGGGCAGCTGCTGAGGAGGGGCCTGGGTGTCCCCTCTGCCCGCCCCCCAGGCCAGGGGGAGAGGGTGGGGCCTGCGTCCCCAGCAGCTGGTGTGCAGGTGGCCGGAGCAGGGCTTCCTGGGAGCAGGTGGCTGGTGAGGGATGGCCGGGCTGGTCAGTGTGTGGGGCCTGGGCAGAGCAGCCCCCAGGCGGGAGGGAGCTGGGGCCTGCAGGGCCCTTGGCTCGGCCTCCCGTGCCCCTCCCCGGCTGCACCCAGGCCCCCCTCCCCCCAACCCCTGCAGGACCTTTCAGGGCCCCTGCACTCACACCCCCTCTAAGGAGCGGCCGCCTCAGTGGGCAGCCTGCGTTTGGGGGAGAGGGAGGTGGGAGAATGGAATGGACCAGCCCACAGAGCAGCTGTTTAGTCTCGTTAGGGCCATTGGAGGGAGGGCTGGCAGGGACAGTTCATCGAGGCACCAACCAGTTCCTGGTCCCTGCTGGGGGCTGCACAGGCCCTGGGGACACAGACGGTGGTGGCCGGACAGAAACCCCACTTCCCGACCCAACGTGTCTGCGAGGAGCTACAGGTGATGATTAGGTCGGAAGGTGAGTGTGAGTGTGAGTGTGTGTGTCTGTGTGTGTGTGTGTGTGTGTGTGTGTATTTATTCTTCTTCTCTGGTTTGATGTAGACACGGTGTGGCCCAGGACTGCCATGCTCCCTGCCCCTGGGAGAATGCCCCCGCAAGGGCACGAAGCCGCCAGCAGAGGAAGAGGAGGGAGCTGGACGGACGTGGCCAGAGCTCTGACGGGGATGTCCTAGCCCCGGACGCACGAGGGGGCTACAGCCGGTTCCTGCATCTCAGCCCTATGAGCAGGTACAGTCCTCTCTCTCGGTTCGCTTCTGCCACCAGGAGAGTCTCACCTTTCCCGTGAGAGCAAAAGTGCAGGTTTGGCAGCAGGAGGGCTGGACCGAGGCTCCTACCTCCTTGCTTCCAGGAGGCGCCTCCGGTCCTGCTGGTCTTGGGCACCACAGGCCAGTCCCAGCGCCTGCACGGCCCCTCACAGGAAACCCCACGTCTCCTGTGGTCGGCGGAGGAGAAAGAGCTTAGAGAACGCGGCAGCAGAACGAGTTTATTAAAACGGCCGGCAGTCAACGGTGGCCTGCTGGCTGCAAAGATACATCTTGCTCTTTGGGAAAACAGAGCGGGAGAGGCAGGGGAAGGGAGACACACACACACACACACACACACACACACACACACACACAGAGGCGCAGAGACGCAGAGACAGAGAGACCCGGAGCCCCCGGACGCCGGGCGCAATCACTCCCGGGACGGCTCCGCGGAGGAGCAGCCCCCGTTGGTCTTGCTGAGCGAGTCCGCGCTGCCCGTGGGTGAGCCAGTCTTGTGGATCTCCTCGGGCATGTTCTTCTGCCGCTCCTCCCGCTCCGTCTCCCGGTGGTAGAAGTAGTTGAAGTTGGACACGATGACGGGGACGGGCAGCGCGATGGTGAGCACGCCGGCGATGGCGCACAGGATGCCCACGATCTTGCCGCCCGCGGTGGTGGGGCACATGTCGCCGTAGCCCACGGTGGTCATGGTGACCACGGCCCACCAGAAGCCGTCGGGGATGCTGGAGAAGTGGGACTCGGGCTCGTCCACCTCGGCGAAGTACACGGCGCTGGAGAAGAGGATGACGCCGATGAAGAGGAAGAAGATGAGCAGGCCCAGCTCCTGCAGCGACGCCTTGAGCGTCTGGCCCAGGATCTGCAGCCCCTTGGAGTGGCGGGACAGCTTGAAGATGCGGAAGACGCGCACCAGCCGGATGACCCGCAGGATGGCCAGCGACATGTTCTGCTGGGCGGTGGGCTCCGTCTCCTGCACCAGCTCCGTGGCCACCGTGGCGAAGTAGGGGATGATGGAGATGACGTCGATGATGTTCATGATGTTCCGGAAGAAGCCGGCCTTGCTGGGGCACACGGCGAAGCGCAGCGCCAGCTCGAAGGTGAACCACACGATGCAGGTGGATTCCACCATGAAGAAGGGGTCGGTGAACATGGACGGGGACAGCACCATCCGGGTGGCGTTGCGCCCGGGGTCCCGCACCAGCCGCGGCTCCCGGTCCTCACGGAACTCGGGCAGCGTCTCCATGCAGAAGATGGTGATGGAGATGATCACCACCAGCACGGACACGGCGGCCACGGCCCGGGCGGCCACGGAGCTCTCCGGGTACTCGAACAGCAGCCAGAACTGCCGGTGGACGTCGTTGGCGGGGAGCGGCGTCTCGGGGTCCGGGATGAAGCCCTCGTCCGCCCGGAACGCCTCCATGGCCTCGCTGCCCAGCTCGTAGAAGGCGATCTCGTCGGCGAAGACGTCGATGGGCACGCTGGCCGGGCGCCGGATCTTCCCGCCCGACTGGTAGTAGTACAGGATGCCGTCGAAGCTGGGCCGGTTGCGGTCGAAGAAGTACTCGTTCCGCATGGCGTCGAAGAACCGCGCCCGCTTCTCCCGGTCGCCCAGCAGCGTGTCCGGGAACTGCGTGAGGGTGCGGAGCTGGGTCTCGAACCGCAGCCCCGCCACGTTGATGATCACCCGCTGGTCCCCCTCGCTGGGGACCGCGGGCTCCGGCCCCGGGGGGTCCGGGTCGTCGGCCCCCGGGAGCCGGGAGAAGGCCGTCTCGTGGCTGTCCCCGAGGAGCAGCTTCCAGTTGGAGAAGGGGCCCGGCCCGGGCCGGCCTCTGGGGGCGCCGGCGGGGCTGAGGTCCGGGTCCTGGTAGCCGGGCTGCTCCTGGATCTCGTCCGAGTTGTCGAAATCGACCAGAGCCACCTCCATTTCCTTCCAGCCGCATCCGTCCATCCTCGGGGAGGCGGGGGAGCGGAGTGGAGACCTCGGGCCTCCGGCCGGCCGGCCCGCGGGGAGCTGCGGGGAGAAGAGGCGCGTCACAGGGCAGCGAGGACCGGGGAGTGAAAACCGGACGGCTGGCCCTGGGCGCGGACGCGAGGTAGGCCGTTGGATGAGGGGTGACCGGTGCTCAGCTGGGGAAGGAACCTCCTGGTGGTTTTGGCCACATTCTCCCCTGGAGACCGTTTGCACCCCGAGCCTGCACACACCAATCGCTGGAAGGCACTGGGGAGGAGGAGCCGGGCCGAGAAAGGACACTTTCTCCAGACAAAGGGGCCTCCGTCCGCGGCCGCGGGCAGAGGCCGCCGTGGGCGGGGAAGCTAGTGTTTCTCTCTTTAGGGATGAAACGGAATTCTCTGGGATGAATGTTTCTGACACGGACACTGGGAACCTCGTGTGGGCGCGCCGGCTCCCAGGGACCCGGCCCTGCTGGGCCCAGGTCGGCCGAAGTGGCCCTGGCGGCCGTGGAGTGACCGTCACAGCCAGGCCTCCCGCACGCCCACCGGGTGTTGCCGGCGGTGAGACGGCTGGTCCGCAGTGCGTCACGGACACGGAAGGCAGGCGGGCTGGGGTGAGAGGAGCAGCTGGGACCAGTCTCACTCACAGGGACAAGGACAGCCTAGAGCCGTGGTCGGCAAACTGCGGCACGCGAGCCACAGGCGGCTCTTTGGCCCCTTGGCCCGGGCGAGTCTGTGTTGAAGAAGTGGCGTTAGGAGAATTAAGTTTTGAAAAATGTGGCTCTCCAAAGAAATGTCAATCGCTGTCCTGTTGCTATTTGGCTCCGTGCACGGATGAGTTTGCCGACCACTGATCTAGAGAGTCACAGGGTGCGTCCACAGTCCTGCCCACACGTTTCCCTGCTAAGGGACAATGATCACGTGAGTCAGCTGGAGTGGGCTCTGCCCCCGGCCGCCCTCCTGGCCGCTGGGAGGACCGGATGCTCTGGGTGGGAGCGGGGGGGGCACCCTGGTGAGGGGAGGTGTGGGCTGGGGTGTCTGGGGGCGGCTCCCATGGAGCGTGTCTGCATGCAGAGTGCAGGGTCCTGTGTCTGTCCCTCCCCCCATATTCTAAGGCTCCAGTGGCTGTGACATGTCACTGCATGGGCTGCCAGGGCTGACCGGGCTGGGCGGATGGGCGTCCCCTCCTCCCTCACCCTCCCATGCGTGTCCCCCAGCGTCTGATGCCTCAGCGTCCCCACTGGCCGGGCGCAGCGCCCGCCGAGACAGGGTGCTGGGGTAACCCCCGCTTCCCCCTGCACACACTGGGTTCCTCCCTCCAGGACACTGAGGCAGCTGCCCTGAAGATGCAGGAGGTGTGATTGCTCCCCCTGGTGACAGGAGGGCTTAGAGGGGCGGAGGGGCCCCCGGAGGCTGGTTAGAGGGGGTGGGCACAGCGGGGCTGGCTGGCTCTCACCGGCAGGGACGGGGGACAGACCCGTGTTCCTATAGAGCCGGTGACACGGCCCTGGCTCTTTCCTCTAACACCTGAGCGGCGCCCGCAGCGATGCTGAGAGGGCCCCGCGGGGTCACTCCTTCCAGCAGGGAGGGCAGGGCTCCCGGACCTTTTCCTGAACCCCCTGCCCCCCCCCCCCCCCCCCGGTTTGTAACACTAGTCACAAGCCCTGACTCTGGAGCCTACAGGCCGAGGCTTGCACCTGTGACCACTAGCCCTGAGCAAGTCGTTGAACTTGAGCCTCAGTTTCTTCATCTGTAGAATGGGAGACTCCTAGGCCACAGGGCCTCCCTTTGGCGACCTTGTGGTTGTCTGAGTCACACTGGCTTCTGCACCCGCGCCCCCCCCACCCCCATTCCTGCCCGGCTGGCTCTCTGTGTAGGGAAAGGTGCTTCCTCTCTGACCTCACGCCTGCACCGGTTCCAGCTCCTGCAGGATCTGCCTGCGGGGCGTCCCATCTCCCACCCTGCCCGCCTCTCCTCTCACCTGGATGCGGCCGTGGCTCCCCACGGGCTGCCAGGTGCTCCCACTCAAGGCCAGGTGGATCCTGCATGGCCTCCAGCGACTCCTCACCAGCCAGATCCGCCCCCCACCCCCCACCCCCCACCCCCCACCCCCCGCCTCCAACGCCCTGCCTGGAGCTGTGTGCGCCCCCTCCCTCCCGCACTGTGGCGGGCCCCAGCCTCAGTGGTATCCTTGGGGGGCTGGAGGGGAGGGAGCCTGCTCCATGGGGCGGTCACACCTCCCCTCTCCCACTCCCTTTCCTGCACGGGGAGGCAGGGGGCCGACACAACAACGAGGTGCCAAATGGCAGCCTCTCCTTTTAGCGAACACCCCCAATCCTGGGGTATCGGCTCACCTCCCTAAGGAACCCCCCACGGCCAGGCTCCAGGATGCATTGAGCTGTGTGCCCGGGGGAAAGTTACTGAACCTCTCTGGGCCTCAGTTCCTCATCTGGGAAGCCGGGGTCATGACCCGGTCCACAGAGAGGCCTAAAGAAGGATTCAGATCCGGTGTCACCCCAGGAACTACCCTGTTTCCCCAAAAATAAGACAGTGTCTTATATTAATTTTTCCTCCCAAAGTTGCGCTAGGTCTTATTTTCAGGGGATGTCTTATCTTTTTATGCGCTAGGTCTTATTTTCGGAGGATGTGTTATTTTGGGGGAAACACGGTAGTAGGTGTCCAGCCTGAGAAGGGCCTCTGTCCACACCTGGAATCACCCACGGCTCCGACGCAGAGGTGTGAGCAATGAAGTGAAGCCGTCACGGTGGGATGGCAGGCACCTGGGGTGGCGGAAGTCGGTGCCGGAAGCTGCCTGTGTGCCTGATAAACCCTCAGAAGCCAGCCCGTCCTCCGGCTCAACTTCCGCTCTGCCTCCTGGGCTTGCTCTCCTGTGGCCCTTCCGCGGCCACTGAGCAGCGGGGCCTCTGGGGCCTCCTCCGACCCCAAGAAGCTCCAGGATTTCTGGGGGAAAGGTGGGCGTAGTGGCGGGGTCTGGGGACAGCTTTCTTCTGTGCAAAGACAAGGCCCAGGCTCGGGGGGGGGGGGGGGGGGAGGGGGACTGCCGTTCCAGAAGGCTCCGAGCCACGTGAGCTGGGAATGTGGACCACAGCATAACGTGTCTCCCTAAGATCGTGCTGGGAGCCGAGCCAACCTGGGCGCTCACGCCGGTTGCCAAGCTCAGGCCTAAATTCCCCCAGAATGCCCCGGGAGCTCCAGGAGGAGGACGCCGGGGCCCTGGGGTGGTGGCGGGGGTCCCCGCAGAGACACAGGGCGGTGGGGGGGCAAAACTCACCGGGGGAGCGGCGGGGAGCAGGCGCGCGGGGTCGGCCGGGGGGGCCTGGGGGCCCGGCCGGGTCAGCTCCCCATGGCCCGGGCGTCGGGGCGGCCGGCGGCAGATCTGGAAGAAGCAGCCTGAAGCTGATGCCGGGACGCAGAAACCCTATCCTCCTTGAAACAGGATGCCCGCTGTCTCCGGGGGAGCGAGGGGGAAGGCCAGGGTCGGTGGGCAGGGGCAGGGCATCGGGGAGATGGCCAAGCTGATTCGGGAAGGACGGCCCTCCACCTTCGGGGTCAGAGCCGGTCCTGACCCAGAGCCTGGATGAGATTCCCGGAGCCGTGGTCACACGGAAGCACAGAGGGCGGCGGTGCCCTGTCTCCCCATCGCCCCAGCTCGGAGCCCGGCCCACAAGGGGGTCCCCCAGCCCGTCCGGGCTCCCCGCTCCTCAGCGGCTGGTCCCTGGCACTGAGGGTCTAAGAGGACCTCGCCTTTGCTGGGGCCTCTCCCTGTGAGGAGGGCCAGAGGGGCTGCCGCGGGGCTGCCTGACGTCCCCCTGGACTGGGGGCCGGAACTGGGCCCTTTCCTCTGACTCCAACCAGACGCCCTCAGGCCTCCTGGGAAGGCCGTGGCCTGAGGACAGCGAGTGTTGGGGAGGACCCTGCAGAGAGAGAGAGAGAGAGAGAGAGAGAGAGAGAGAGAGAGAGAGAGAGAGGAGGGGAGGACCCTGCAGAGAGAGAGAGAGAGAGAGAGAGAGAGAGAGAGAGAAGAAGAAGAAGAAGAAGAAGAAGAAGAAGGAGGAGGAGGAGGAGGAGGAGGAGGAGGAGGAGGAGGAGGAGGAGGAGGAGGGAAGGAGGAGGAGGGAAGGAGGATAGGAGAAGGAGGACAGGAGGAGGAGGAAGAGGACAGGGGGAGGAAGAGAAGGGGAGGAGGAGGGGGAGGAGGGGGAGGAGGAAGGGAAGAGGAGGAGGAGGGGGAGGAGAAGGAATGGAGGAGGGGGAGGAAGGGAGGAAGGGGGGAGGGGGAGGAGGGGAGGAGGAGGAGGAGGAGGAGGAGCCTTTGTCCCCACAGGGATCACCCTGTGCCCTCTGACCTCACTGCCCCGAGGGGGTCTACTGGTAGGGCGGAGAGAGGGGAATGAAGCTGCGGGGTTAGAAGGCGTGACCTGGGCTCCCGTTACCATCGGTCACCGTGGCACAGCCCTCTTCTCTCTGAGGCCCCACAGGGGTTCAGCACAGGCCCTGGAGCCGATGGCCTGGGCCCAATCCAGGCTCTGCTGCTAGCTGTGTGACCTTAGGCAGATTGCCTAACCTCTCTGAGTCTCCATCCCCCCCCCCCCCCCCCTCCTCGCCACAACCCTTTCTCTCCTCAAAGGACATGTTGCACGAAAGTCCAAACACAAAAGGGAGAGAGCTGATCTGCTTGAGGGAGAGGCAAGTGGGGCCCCGCCCCTGCCTGCTGGGCCCCGGTTTCCCTGCTCCCTGGACCGGAGTCTGAATAAAGTCTGTTCCTCACGCTGCCGCGTCATTGAGGTCTGACCGCTGTCCAGTCGTCCTGCCCCTAACCCCCATGTCCCCGGCCCCTTCCCCGCGGCCTGCAGGCCAGTGGCCCAGTCCTGCGTGCTCCCTGCCCAAGAACCTGATCTCCCTGCTCTCCACGCTGACCTTTGGCTCCGTTACCAGCAGCCGGGAGCGGGCAGCGGCCCGGGCCTCCATCCGATCCGC